GCGCCTGCGTCAGGCGCAGCACCTTAGGGCGCGCTTCGCCCGCCTGCTCGACAGCCAGGTGGGGTGGGGGATTATCGCGAAAGGAAGATCGTTGTCACATGTGCTGAACGTGGTGGTGAAGAGAATCTGCGTGTTGGCGCTGGCTGGCTTGGCCTGCCCCATCTACGGGCACTCGGGGCGGGCCGGATGCCTGCGGGCGCGCCGAGCCGCAGGGGGGAGTCAGCAGACTATCACGGTTAGCCGAGGGGCGCGGCGCATGGCGGCGCCAGCAGACCTGCTAAGCCGCGGTGCCGCTCGCGCCCAGGCAGTTCCATCCTTCTCGTGACGGCTGGCTTCGCGCGGCCAGAGGCTACCAAAGGCGACGCGGATGTGCTCGACTTCCAAGTCGCAGAATGGATCGGGCACCTCAGGGTTGGCGGCAACGGCTGAAACGATGCAGCCGGCGCGCTGTCAGGCATGTCGTCCCCGCTGCGGCGGCGCCGCATCTTCCTCGCGCCGTGGGGTATTTTCGCGGTGTGGGGGGCGGATCGAGGTTCCTTGCTTGGTGCCCCCCCTACCAGTGAACGCGCTGCTTGCCATGGCCACCGTGGCCCGATGCTGGCAGAGAAATGACATTGCGTTGCTCCTGGTACTGGGGTTCAGCGGCCTTTTTCGCGCCACGGAGCTGCTGACCCTGACGAGGTGGCAAGTCCAGATCGCTCCGGACTTCAGCAGCGTGGTCGCGGTGCTTCCCATCACCACGAGTGGGCAGGAAGCCGTCGTCATCGCCGCTGCGGCCGTGGGGCGTTTCATGGCCTTCATTATCCAGCACACGCCGCCTGGCGAGACCATCCTGCGGGTCTCGGCCGCGGGCTTCCGCCGGGTGTTCCAGCTGCTGTTGGAGGGCCTGGACGTGGCTGCGTTCAGCTTCAAGTCGTGCTCGCTACGGCGCGGCGGCGCGACGGCCTACTTCGCGGCCTTCCGCAACGCGGGCGCAACGTTGCTCATGGGCCGCTGGCGAGATTCGGAGACAGCGAGGCGATGCATCTCCGCGGGCGTCCAGGTGCTGCTGCATCTCGCCTCCGGTGACGCCCGTCAGCGCCGGTTGCAGTGCCTTGCGCAGTCGCTCTGTTGCGACATTGAATCCCCTGTCGCCTCCCTCCCACTCCTCCAGAGAAGGACAAGCATGAGGTAAGGAGGTCTTCTTCAGTTTGAGCAGGGGAAGACCCCCCGTTTATCCTAGTGGGACGGGGGGCCAGTAAGGGGTCGATGGGAGGGTTGCCGATTCTTTCAGGGCTTCGATCTCCCTTGCTACCCCCTTCGGGCCCTTGGCCGAGGTCGTTGTGGCGCGGGGCCCCGGCCTCGGCCTCGGGCCCTTGGACGGTGTGGCGTGGGAAGTTGGCCCTGGGACGTTTGGGATCCCCCTTCTGGTGGCCATTCGGGACCAGGACCAAGCGACCCGCCCGGCGATCCGCCTTCGGCGTCCTTGGGCCCCAGGAGCCCCGGCGGCCATTCGGTGCCTCGTCGGGGCCCTTCGCTCTTCGGCCTTGCGGAGGTCATTGGACATCCGCGTGGCTTGGGGTCATGCGTACTTATGTGCGTAATTTACACACACGTACATAGGCACATACACAGACATATTTGGACACTCACATGTTTTCGCGCAGCTGCACACAAACCAACATACGAACCTACAGACCCATCTATATTTACAACCATGCGATCAAACACACGAACATCGGGCCGGGCGAAAGGGGGGGGTTGGGAAAGGGGGGGTTACGAAATTTGCTGCATGCAGCTGGTTTCGGCCTCACCGAGGGGCACATTCCTCGATACATGGCCGCCTCCCGGCGCCGGGAGGCGCCGGGAAAATCAGCTACGTGAGCTGATTCTCAAACCCCCCCTTTGCTATCCCCCCCTTTCGCCCGACCCGAGAACACCTACATGAACGGGCTGTGCGTTGGATGAGTGGCGTCCACGTCGTGGCGTGCGTTTAGCGGTTCAACGTGATTGTATTGGTTGAATGGTTTCTTGTCGTTGCGTGCGGTGCCTGCGATATGTCGTGCGTGCCTGCGGCAGCCTTGATTGAGTGGATTCCTGTCGCTGCCCGCCGTGTGTTTGATGATCTGCGTCCGCGTCGTGGCGCGAGTTGCGCGGCCACCCGTTGTTGGCTTGGTTGAGCGGTTGCCTGTCGTTGCAAGCGGTGCCTGCAATGTGTCGTGCGTGCCCAAGAGGTCCCCATAACGGGCCAAGAGAGCCCCACGACATCCAAAAGAGCCCCAGAGGACTCCCCTGGACAGTCCAAAGACGGACGCAGCTTTGACGCCAAGTCTCCCAAGAGCACCAGGTGACCGGAAAGCCCTGTGCACACAAGCCGGTGACGTAAACATCTTTGACGGCCAAGTATCCCAAGAGCTAGCAGTGGGCCAGAAGTTCTGAACGCCCAGATTCTCAAGAGCGAGCGGTCATGTAAACAGCTCTTCGCGCCAAGGCTCCTAAGAAACGCCGGCTACACAAACAGCTCTTAAGTCCAAGGTTTCCAAGAGTGAGCAGTGACGTACACAACTCTTTACACCAAGGTTTCTATGAGCGAGCGGTAACGTAACAAGCTCTTGACCTCAAGGCTGCCAAGAGCGAACGATGACGCGAACAAACTCTTCACACCAAGGCCTTAATGAGCGAATCGCGACGTGGAAAAACTCGTCATGTCAAGGCCCCCGAGAGCTAACGGTGCCATGAGCCCTCTCGGGCGAGTTCTTGAATCGGTCTTTCTGTATCCTTGCCGGCCCAGGTGTTGGGGGTTTCTCGGAGGCCGCCCTCATACCTTGTCATGGCATCAGTTGAGCCTGTCTTCTGAGTGTTGGAGCCTCGTCGAGCCATTATCTGCAACACAGTGTGCTCACAAACTATGTCGCGAGTTTGCCTGAAGCCGCTTCCTTCGATCTGTCCTCGCATCGTGCGTCTTCCCGCATTTCGTGCTGCCCCTGCTCGAGTGCGGTGTGCACGCCGCCCGTTCGGCCAGGGCGCCACTACGGATGGCGAGGCGGCCACTCTCAGGAGGGAAAAAACACACAGACACAATGAAGCGTCGATTCCCCAAAAATATGGGAACACATGGGAAGTGGGGGGGAAGACAGAAACCCAGAAAATATAGGAAGATATGGGGAATCTTTCTATTTGTGTGTATTTATTTAATCGCTTCGCTCATGCCGCCGGCCCTGGAGCCCTCTTTAGGGCCTCTTGGGGGCCTCTTGGGGACCTCTTGGGAGTCTCTTGGGGCTCCTTGGCGGCGTTTTGGAGGCCCCCAGGGCCTCTTGGGGGGCTCTTGGGGGTAGTCGATTGCGGCTCCCCCCTCGGAGGCCACGATCCTCGTGAGGGGTGTCGAAAAATACCCTCCCCTGGAGTGGGGGAATCTTTCTATTGTGTGTATTTATTGGTGTGTCCCAGGGCCCCTTCACAACTCGCTGGCACTGCCGGCAGGCCTGCTGCAGGCTGGTCCGCTCCTCGGGGCCGTCGCCTCCGGGGGCGCGAAGGCGACCGCGCTGCGCGCGCCGCGGCCTGGGCCGGAGAGGCCTCCTTCTCCAGGGGGGCGCTGCGCGAGGGCGCGACGAGGAGGAGGAGGAGGAGGAGGAGGAGGAGGAGGAGGAGGAGGAGGAGGAGGAGGAGGAGGAGGAGGAGGATGGATGGATGGGGAGGGGGAGGGGGAGGAGGAGGAGGAAGGAGGAGGTGGAGGAGGAGGAGGAGGAGGGGGAGAGGAA